GAAATGTATATGAATGTCCAGTATACAAGACAAAAAGTCGAGGACCAACTTACGTTTGGACATTCAACCTAAAATCAAAGGAGAAAGCAAGCAAATGGACCTTAGGAGGAGTGGCTCTGTTACTTCAAGTTTAAACACTAAGTAAGAGTTTGGCACTTGACTAGAGTTACACTACCACTCTATAGAGTCAATTTTAGGATCATTTTAATGGAAACAAATTTATTTTTGCTTTGTTTGCACATGTAATTTTTTTGTAATTGCTTGATATACAAATGGTGCAATCAACCATATAGAATGGTGCTATCTGACAGTATTTATTATTTGTTGTATTTAATTTTCCCATTATTTATTGAAAATGTTTCCAAAATTACCAAATAATTACAAGTATTAATAGCATATCTATATATTTATTTAAAGTTCTGTGTTTACAGTTGTTGGAATATTTTCCTAATGTGTTCATTTAATTTTGTTTACACATTAATATTTTTTTCTATTAAATATGTTAATGAATAAATATACACATGTTTGATATGTATTCTCATCTGGCCAATTGAACTATTGTTGTGGAGTTTGTTCTCCCCATTACAATTGAAGAACATGGAAATGCATACAAATAGCAAACAGGTTTAAAAGTTGTCCTTTTGATCTTTCTGTTAGAATAATCATACTTATATGCAAAGGTAAAGTGTTGTGTTTTTAGGGGCAAGTATTGATTTGCCTATTTTCCCCCAGGCTGCAGGGGACATAGAAACTCCATCTATCCAGTCTTGTAATTGCTCTCACATGTACGATTCATGCCAGATTTTTATCAAACTTATATCAGCAATGTCTCAAACAAAATCATAATTCATGAAAATCATTCACAAGGCTAAGAACCAAAACACACAGAGTTTGAATATTGGTTGTGAGTCATCTACCGTTCTAGAGTTATGCCCATTTTTAACTTGGAAAATTGCAAAGCTTGAGCTGGGGCATTCATGTCCTCAGACACATTATTCTTTTAACTATTCAACTTATATCAAAGGTTTATATCAGTAATGCCTCAGACAAGTTCGATAATCAGTGTAGATCTTTTTTTTTTTTAAAGAGTTGCACCCAGTGGCGGATCCAGAGGGGGGCGTAGAGGGCGTACGCCCCCCTTTTGCTTGAACTTTTTTTTTTTTTTTTTTTGTAAAATGATTAATCAGACTAGACTTCGTGAACTTTGCCATTACCCGGCCGTGTATTCAATTTTTATGCGACTATTCTTTACTTATAAAGATATTTTTCGCTCGTATTTACTGTAATATATTATTGATTATGTCAAAGTCATGTGATTCGCTACGGTGGAGTTGATCAGTACGTCGAAAAAAACGTTACTCAGTCATTTTGAAATTCAAATTACAGTAACACATTGCTTACGGCGGAGGATGACAAGCATGACTCTTTCAAAGCGACACAGGATTGAACAAGAACCACGTATTGACTTCTATTTCACAATTCCACTCAACAGAAAGTAACACTCTATTACACTCTCATGAAAAAAAAAATTCCACAGCAATATTATTTACCTTCGAAAATATGTTGAACCCCAGACGCCCCAGCCAATTAATAACATTGTTGAATAGTGATCCCCAGTCAGTAAGCTCTAGATAGATTTAAAGTCTAAGGTACGGACCATTTGATTTTATAGGGCAGTCTGAGATATTTTAGTGAAACATTTTTGACCCTGATTTTTGCCTTAAACAAAAATTCTGGCCGTATCTGTATTGAAAACAATTCTCGTGTCCCCTTTTTTGCTATCAGAAAAAAAAATCCAACAGAATTATTCAGCATTAAATGAACATGGTGATTAAAAAAACGGGCGTAAATTTTTTTGGGGGTTTGCATGTAAATCCCATATCTGACCGAAATGTCTGTTTCGCCGAACTGATATACTGAATACTTTTTTCAAGGCCCAACTGCAACCTGCCTGCTGGGTGTGGCCTTTATGTCTCCATTTGTCGACCGTCATTCACAACTTCGTTGTCATTTGATTTTCAGACTCATTCGTAGCCTTTGGTTGATTTGGGACCACTCACTTCCCTTGTTGGGTGAAACATTTCAACCAAACATTTGGATAAAAAATGCTTGTTTGTCTTTGTTCGTGTCGGTCGTATTATAAACTTCATTGAATAGCCGTATATCATCATACATGTTTACAAAAAGAAATCTGGGAGGTTATGCTAACTAACCATACAACAAACGAGAATTTTCCATGTCCATTTTTTACTGACAAATCCCACATCAAATATATTAGTACATAGCTTTGGATCCATTCAATCATTTTATAATAGATAATTAGAGGCTAGCTGAAGGACGCCTCCGGGTGCGGGAGTTTCTCGCTGCATTGAAGACCTATTGGTGGCCTTCGGCTGTTGTCTGCTCTATGGTCGGGTTGTTGTCTCTTTGACACACTCCCCATTTTCATTCTCAATTTTAATTAATGGGGAGAATGCGGCATCAAAAGTGTCCAACCCTAGCTTACACTTTAACTATAAAATAAACATGCCCCACGTCAGGAACCGTTAAAAATGTGCATTTTACAGTTATTTTATGTTTTTTAGCCCCAAAAAGGACTAAAAAAAATTTTCGCCTCGCTCCGCTCGGCTAACTTTAAATACTACGCCCCCCCTTTACAAAATCCTGGATCCACCCCTGGCACCCCTTGCTAAAATTGCATTGTAAGGGCTTTCACCCTTTATAATTTCTTTAAGATATAAAGATATAACAAGACAGCTCATGAAATGCTTTAAGAAAAGAAACTAGAGGCTCTAATGAGTCTGTGTCACGCACCTCGATCTATGTATATCTTCAACAACAACTTCCCGACAGTGTTTTTAAACTACAATATAATTCATGACTAAAATCTTTTTTGTTGATCTAGTATTGCTAATCATTTTTCTGTTTACAGTTTTTCTCTACTATCATTTTTGCCCAAAATTCACAAAAAATGGATACAAATCATCATTTTAAGGGCAATAACTCCTCCTGACAATTTCGTCTTTGTTGACCAATTTGTAGATCTTGTCTTGTAGCTGAATTTTGCTTTTTTTACAATTTCTCTGTAGTTTTTGCCCTAAACATAAAAAGGCTAAGAATTGTCATTTTGTTGAAGGAAAGTGTGTCAAGTGATTTCACACACACTTTTTCCCCCTTTTTTTTATTGGTGGTATTGGCAATTATGGGCTGTATCCCACATCTTTTATAAGAAAATGTTCAGGACATTTTTCAACATACAGTCCGTATTCCTATAAGAATAACTGCTCTCCTCTTGGTATCAGATTTTCCCTTATCCATATGATGCAAACATCATACAGATGCACCTCGTAAAGAATGAAAAGAAGATAGCATTACATATTCACTTCTTTTCCCCTATATTTACTATGTTCTCTTATTGAATAAATTCATTGTTATGAGACTGTGTTGATCTCATCTATCCCATTGGACGTGACTTAAAGGATACCACAGGTATAATTTAGTCTGCTTCACATCTTTACTTACATATAGAAATTGGCAATGAGGGTTGGCTGAGAACTAAACTTTGACAAAAGAAATGATTTCAATTTTCTCATTGAGTACTTTCCCTTTCTGTGTAGCAACATTCTAGGGTTTGTGTTTCCTGTCATGATTTCCTTCAGAATTGCTGATTATACCAAGAGCATTTAAACAAAAAGTTCCTAACGGTAAAGTTGGAATCATCCATTTGAAAGTTGTATTTTGAGTATTTGAAATTTAATTATAGATCTATTGATTTGAGTGACTGTTACAGAAGTGTGTCAGAGATGACGAAGGATATGTTTTTTCCTCCAGTAGCCAAAATACAGTTCTCCTTCCGCAATTGTGACATCAAGGAATGTGATATAGAAGCCCATGATGAGCTTTTGTCATCACTTGGTGTCTGTCATTTACAAGATTGCACATGCTGAAATGTTTGCCTGTTTACTGACCATGATTGATTTAATGTTGAAAGTCTAAAAGATTTTTACTACTAGAATCATATAAATTTAACATTATCAAGGATCCATCACAATAAGGTCAAGGTCAGATTAACTCTGCCAGACACTTGTACACCTTACAATCATTCCTTACATCAAAGTAAAGTTAACGTATTGCTTATAGTGTGTAAGAAACATAATTAACCAGGAAAACTAAACATTGACCAATGAACAATGAAAATAAGGTGATTAACAGATGAACCTTGCCAGACAGTCATGTACACTTTACAATAATTCCATACTAGTATACTAAATAAAGTTGACCAATTGCTTATTGTATTTGAAAATCAGACCAAAACACAAAGTCTTAACATTGACCAATGAACCATGTACATGAGGTCAAGGTCAAATAAACCTGTCCGACTGACATGTACATCCTACAATCATTCCATACACCACATCTTTTTCCCTTTTCCCTATATACATGTTATTAACGTATTTAAAAACGAGAATATTACATTGTGTCTATAGATTCCTATTTCCGTTTAATGTGAACCGAAAAATCTGGGTTGAAACCCTTTATATGTGGCATATATTTTTAAAAATTCACAAAACAATGAACATGTATACTAAGTTTCAAGTTGATATGACAACAACTTCATGGTAAACTACCTCAAAACAAAACTAACACGAAACAGGACGGACAGACATACAGACAAGAACACCTACGACCCATAACTAAGGCAGGCAATTCATGATTTAAATCATTTTATGAATGCCCCTCCGTAACACTGACGACCTTGTAAGGTACTCTGAAGCTGGTCAGCACAACACTTTCCTTTTTTCAGAACCTTGATGAATGACATACTATAACATTTTGGTAAGACATGCAGATATATGAACTGAATGCTTTCTTATTACTCTTTTCAAACGATATATAAATGATTTAAAACACTGCAAGGATTACTACATTCAATGAAGCTTTAATATCATCAGGCCAAGAAGATACCAAACACTCCTGCGAATGTATAAGTGGATGCATCATATTAAATTATATTTTAATCATTGAGATAACAATTGGTGCAAGTAAATATTACAAAAATACCATAAAATAATTCATCTGGCATCACAAACAAAATATTTTTGGCAAAAATAATAATGTGGGAATAGGCCCTACATAAAGGTAAGTCCCTGATTTTCTAAAACAGACAGTTCATCTATATCCTTATATTTCTGTCTTGCCTGAGACGAATGTTGCAGTAACTAACTTTCGTTTTTAACAACTTATGTTAATTTTTCTGCAGAATAAGTACCTTGACTGACTTAAAACAGTGGTTTTTTTTATTGGTTGTGATTACTCTTAGTAGGTCTATCTAGACTATCAATGAAGAGCCATTAGTTGTCGAAAAGCGTATCTGGTGCAATACTAGTAGTATTGTTACCGTTAATGTTAATACTATTAAGGAGGGCCAGGATGGGGTTTACAGAATAGAGAATAATGGTAAAAAATAATGAATATAGAAACAAATAGGAAAAGAAATAAAGAAGAGAATAATATTGGAAATGAAAGAATTTGGTACCTTGTATAATACTGATTACGGAAATGAACAATATACAGAATAAAGAAATCATCTAATTACAGAAAAATGTAATAGCTAGTTAAATCATTTTCATGAGAATTTTACAGAATAAGCGTGTTTTTTTTTCAGACCCTCTATCAAGTTTTAGATCTGACGATTATCAAGTCTGAGAGACTTCGTGACGTACAATCATGCAACTTGAGGACCGTTTTCGGATATATCTTCCTCGCAGTATATCCATGCGCATGCAAAGGTTTGGCAATCCATACAAAAGAACTTTAGATCGTTTACCATGATTTGATTTAGAATTTTGTAAGCAAAAATGTGGAAGGCCAAGAACTTTTTTTCTTCAGTCAAACAAGCATGCATCTTTCAATACAACCGTCCTATTCCAAAGGTATTATGGTATATCTCTATCCGCCGTACAAAACACAAGATAATACTTTGATCTATGAAATGTTTGTGGACTTTTTGATTTGATGGAAGAAAGCTCCCATTTGAATGTGAATGTTTCTATTTTCTTTCCAGAGGTAACGGGCTTTAACCATCAAATTAAAAGTAAATTGTATGTGCTGCAGTTTACTTCTGCTAATTTCCTCTTTCAATATTTCATTTCATTCATATCTATTAAGTATACACGTACTCTTAAATTACTATAGCATATATATAATATGAATTACTCTGCTGTAGACATTAGTATTACCCTGAGATTCAATCTAAAGTTATTAATGGGGTGAAATAATGCTGCAGAAAAATAAAATGGCATTCAACATCATATCATTTCAGATTTTGTTCTGTTAATCTTATAATATTCTTTTGTTTTTCAAGTAACGTACAGCAACCCAAAATGCTACTAAAGCAGTAAGAATTACTGCAATCGTATATGGAATGTCATAAGTATTCATTGCTTCAGATCTGTGGAAGTCAGATTTTGGCAACTGAAAGACTAACATTTGTATTTCTTCAATTTTCCTTTTACCCCAGTAAACAAAACACATTAGAGCGGCAAGAAGTAACCAAAGTAAACATTGTTCGATTCCTTCATGTCTCTTAACTTGACAGTTGACTAGTTGATGTGATGGTTCAGTTAGTGATATATGAATATGTGCCTGTTTTATGTCATAAAGCATATCACAACTACTTCTGAATTCTGGTACAACTTCAAAGCAGTGGTGAATCTGGTGATACATAGTGTCAAATTCTTTTCTGTTAATTTCGAAACATTTCATTCCTGAAAATTTCTTGTAATATTCGAGAACCTGATATGTTCCATTATAAAGTTGTATATTTCGGTTTTTTAAATCGAGTGCTTTGGAATGGCATAACAAGTGTGCTAAAAGAGAGAAATCCCACGAGTTAACATCTCCGTCTCCTTTTCTTATTTGTTCCTGACAAATTCTACCTCTTTTTGAAGGTCGTCGTTCCAATTCTAGTAATTTTTTTCTACTAACTGTATTGTCAAGCCACGGGTTATTAGGATATTGTCTGTTCCATTCAGTTCTGAAAGCTCTGCGAAGAACCAACGTAAATATCTTCTTGATAATAATTGACAGTTTTGCCAAGTTTTCTTCTTTCCATCTGACAAACTCTGCAAAAGAATAACATGTAAGTAAATGTTGAACAAGTTATCAACGATCCCTTATTTGTGTGCAAATGTTTTGTGAAACACCTGTTTATTTAAGATTAGGTTTGTGCTAAAATAATTATGCAGTAATTATTATGTACTGCAGATTTGTTGTAACAAGTACTTTGTAAATGTTTTACATATGTGGAATGGCCTTGACATTAATTCGTCAAATTTGAAGTCGATGTTTTTTCACCGGGTTGTATATTTATTACAAATCAACTATTTATTTTTCTGCAACATGTAGTATAGGTAATGTATTAACTTATTTAAGAGTACATTAACATCTGACAGTTTTCATTTGACCTTGACCTCGTTTACTTAGTTGACCTTTAAACATTCATTTTGATATTTCTTATTCTGTTAATGTTTTCCGTTTATAGATTACGTTAATTCTCAAATGTTGATATAAGAGAAATTCCTTCTCTACAATGTAGAATCTTACCGCTACTTTTATCTGTTACTGTCAGGCTGTCTTTCACTGGATTTGTACACATGTTTTTGTTAAGTAGCCGCTTTTCAGTTCTGGCTAAAATGTTAAAATGCGATAATGTTTAAAATTGCTAGTTGGAATACTTTGAGATGTTTTATGTCTTGCATACTTTAATTTATGATATTGAAACAAATTGTTCCTCTAAGAGAGATACTGGAACACTTGTTTTAAGTTACGATATTGACATCTAAGAGAGATACTGGAACACTTGTATTAAGTTATGATATTGACATCTAAGAGAGATACTGGAACACTTGTATTAAGTTATGAGAGCACACTGAGCTTTTTCAAGAAATCATTTCCTGCATTCGGAGATTCCTTTTTCTGCTTCTTGCCCCACACAGGAGAAGGTATGATAAGGCCACTTTTTTTTGCCCCATGAATTAAAAAAAAGTAATATAAATCTACCAAATAACATCATCAGTTTTCAGATGTTCATAAAACATTAGTTTGTTGGACATCAGTTTTATATCTAGTTATACCTCCTCCTTTCCATCAAAACCACTTCTAGCAATCACATTTTTGTTTGCCATGCCAGAGACATATAATACAATATATGTCTCTGGCCATGCATGTATTTTCTCATGAATATTATGCATTTACACTGGCTGAATATTCGACAAAACTAAAGTCTGTTATGATTAATAAATTGACGAGGTTTAAATATTATATAAGGTTTTAAAATAAATATTGATAAAGATTTTTTTCTTCTGATTTTTAAGTTCAGAAATAATTATTTCTCAAATATATAAATAAAATGACAATTCAAATCTATTTAGACTTATATTAGTATATGCTAAGTAGGCTGTTATGTTTTAATCACGTTAAAACCAAAGAAATACTTGTTATAAAATAAACAAGTGAAACTGCGAGCTACTGCTCACTGATGATACCCTCGACAACTGGGTAATTTTAATAGAGTAAAAATATGCACGTGTTCGGTAAACAGGAAGTTGTTGAGTGATGAATCTGAAAACGCATCACACGGTATAGCTGACTTATATAAACCCTGAAACAAAATTTCAGAAATCCTTATGATGTAGTTCCTGAGAGAGATCCGACGAAAAATATTCATGGGACGGATGGACGGACGGACGGACGGAGAGGTAAAACAGTATACCCCCACTTTTTTAAAGCGGGGGTATAATTAATCAACCCCGAAAATAGTTGTTGTTCATACTTAAGATTTGAATGTCCTAAGTGGAAAATGCCAAATAAACATTTTATCTCTTTCATTTTGTAAACTAGCATTTCATAGCCTGATTTTGTCCCGATGTGCTTTTATTAAATATAAGTATAGAGGCCCATGTCCTTTTATCGAGGTATCAATGTTAATGACATTTGTCTTACCAATTGTTCTTCTGGTCAATTTGTGTTGTTTTTCATCCATTTTTCTCATGGTAAATTTGAGTTCTTGCTTGAGAGAATCAATATCCTGAGTAATACGTTTCTGCATTTCTCGAATCATTTCTTGGATACTTTCCTTTTCTATGATAGCCATGTTATCTACTTTACCATTTAAATCTTCCAGTTTCGATGTATGCTCTTCAAGTGCGGATGAGAAATGTTGTTGCACACAGATCATTTTCTCCATTTTCTTCAAATGAAGTATATATAATTAAAAAACAAATGTAAGATCGAAAGTTCTTTGCAGGGTAGTTCCAGGGTGTCCCCTTATGGCCGAAAATTTATGTTTAAGTAATTTTTTTTCTATTTATGACGGGCAAACAATTGATAGATATATTTTAGCATGGGCTAGCCTATTAATTTGTTGAAATACCTTTCAGTAACTGCGAGTACTCTTAGATTTTATTTTTTTTGTGTGTTTTGTGCGTGTGCGCCGATCTGATATGTCAATCTTTTGCAGTTGATTTTGTTTATCCTAGGTTAGGGGAGGGTTGGGCACTCATAAACACTTTAACCCAGCCACATTCTTTATATGCCTGTCACAAGCCATGGGGTGTGAAGACGAGTGTTTGTCGTTGTTTGCTGCCGCCATAAATTCTTTTTCGTTTAATTTTATAAGCTAAAATCAAACAGCTGGTTTTCTCTTTTGAATAGTTAAACATTTTGTTATCCTGGGGATTTTATAGCTTACTATATGGTATGAAATTTTTCTCGTTGTTGAAGGCCGTACGGTGACCTGTAGTTTTTTTAAATCCCTGTCTTTTTAGTCTCTTATGGATAGTGGTCTTATTAACAATCATAACACATCTCCTTATTTTGTTATAATGTTAACAAATTTAGTGATTTTTTTTTTTCATTATAAATACAATCCACTATTTAATTAGAAAAAAATATATAATGTTATGCACCTCCAAAAATAAATTACTTTTATTTGGGAGTGAAAAAACCAAGGCCCCATTTCACAGACGTAAACTTAAAAGTTTCATGGTAGGTTCCTTGTACTAATACCTACTTCTAACTAGGGAAACAACAGTCAGCCTATTTCTGAATAAAGATTGTTCATGTACGAATTCATTTTTTAAAATTTTCCAAACACTTATCTCAGGCAAATTTTATACTAATTTTACGTATATTAATTCAAGATTGAAGAGCAAACCAGAAATCTACGCTGTGCAGAATTTGATGCATATCTTGTGTACGTTCGGGTGGTGTGACGTAATTGCGTATGTCCATATAGACATTAGCCTATCAAATATGTTTTTAAAAAACAAATTCCCTCCTTTGAGAGGCATGCCATTTCAGAATACCCTTGTGCAAAAGTCTTAAAGTGCATGTTGCTTTCCCCTTTTTTATTATTATTTTAGAATTTAATATTCCGTTCTTTTATGAGACAGTAGAAAATCTTCGTATTTATATTTATATTACCTCGGTTAAAAGAGTATCCCGTTTTTCCCAAATCCGAAGAATATTGTGCACTTTAAGACAGTATTTCAATTCAAGATCCCTGTGTTTAAGGGAAAGTATTGATTTTTGCGCTTCTGTGTGCAAATTTTCGTTAACACCTTTGGCTAAATATAAGATGCTACTTTCAAGCTTTTCCCATACACGGTTGAATTCGTCTGAGGTCAGCGATTGTGTACATGTAACATGACTAATTTGGTTCCGCAAATTTTTAATTGTACGTATGTACTTCAGTTCCAGCGGATTACACTTTGTTGACAAGCAATTGATCAAAATTGTGCAGGCTAAAGCAAGATCCAATTCCTTTGTTGTCACGTCTACTTTTGCATAGAATCTGCATAAACAGTGTTGAATGGTCTTGTCGTTCTTCATTTTGTGGTGTCCTGGTTTTGCTCGATCACCTACTGGTATTTCAAAAAGACATGCAATCTGTGCTCGCGAAAGCTCTGTTTCTCCCAAGAGTTTTCTCGATCCGTAAAACTGACAGCATTGCGTATTATTAATCCACCAATGATACATTTTGTGCTTTTGACTATTTAAAAATTTCTGAAAATCTCCATGTCCGATTTTAAAAATTATAACTTTCCTGAGGATTCCCATTATTACATCTACCACAAAACCAATAAGTCTGTAATAGTTTTCTTCTATTATCTCGTCTTCGTGTCGCTCCCTGTAAGAAATAGTGGTTATATAAAAAAGACAATTATTTTAAACGCAGTTATTTCAAACAATTTTCGCCATTTGGATCACTACTTTGGTAATACATAACTGGAAACTCCAAGGAGACTGTCTCTCACCTGGTATTTTTGCATAAGATTAATACAATGCAACAAACATATTTGTGTTGAGTGGAAACTGCATGGGACAAAATCTTGTCTTGTTGAACATTTTTGATGATATAGTTTAAGTCTATGGTCGAATATAGATAATACTAAGCAAACATTAAAAAAAATGGGTCAAAATGGTGATTCTGGGGTTACAACTCGGCTTGTTACGAATCAATTGATGATTTTTAATTATTTGTATAGCTCTTGTGTTGCTGTTCATGTTTGCCGTTCAAAGTTTCAGTCTATCTATAATAGTTTCCAAAATAGTAAGTAAAAACAATAAAATCTGATAAAGGGATATAATTTGTCGACTGACGATTTAAATAATTTGATGTATTTAAAGATCTTATTATGCTGATCAGTTTTTGCAGCTACAGTTTCTTTTTATCTACAGTCTAGTTTTCCTCCAACCCCATCCACACAAAATGTGGAAAAATTGTCATTTTCAGTCGAATTCATTATATCATATAATTTCGTTAGTATATTGGATCATCCTATATTGAAGTAAACAATGCGTCAGTACTTTTTTGTTATTGCTAATCGTTATCGTAGATGCTCGACAGCTGTCAGAGGCAGATTTTTTTTAATTTTTTTTTTGGGGGGGGTGGCGCTGGCCCCCCTTATGGAGTTACATGCATATATGGTTAATGCATATGTAGTACTCTTTACGTGTTCCACTACAGATATTGCCATGTCCCCCCTTTCAAAGTCCTGGGTCCGCATCTAGCTGTAACCACCATCAGCTATAGCTTCCTATATTGGCGAGAACATTTTGACCCTGCTTTCCAAATTACGTGCCTCTTTTATTTCGTTGTCCAAGCTAGTGGTCTCATCCTTTTGGCAACTCCACAATGTAATATTATGTATTTTAGTTTGAGTTTTATGAGATACTTTCTTTAGAGATAAAATAAAAAAGAGAGGAGTGTGCGCACGGAAAACTGGTTTAACCCCACCACATGATGACCTCTACCAAGTTAAGCTATCTTGACCATGTATTGTTCGTTGTCATTTGTTTTGTTTGTATGTAGGGGTTTAGCGGAGGACTCCTATTATCCTTTTCATGTATTAGTCACCGAGCTTGGAAAATTACTGAAGTTATTGGGGCCAAACATTCTGAATTTATTAATGATTAATGACACCCGACAACCAATTGCTACTGAAGGCAATTTTTATTTAGAAATTTTTGTTTTTAAACTTCGAATATATTAAAGAACATTGAATTATAAAATGGTTGACAGTGTTTAGTGTACATGCTATTTACAGTGCATTTTATTTAATTTAGTAAGACATAAACAACATAAATAAAAAGTGATGAAGCTAAGAAAACACATACATGTACATGATTCACATACAGAACGCCAGAAACTGTAATATACCTCATTTTCAACTGCTCCGACATTTCATTCATCAATTAGATGTACTGTCTACCTACGTAATCCTCTAGTGTCTTTTTCAAGTGTTTTTCGCATGCATCTTTACCTTAAAGAGAACATTTAGTCTTGAGAGAAAAAGAGATTATCAGCTGGGAAAAAAACCCATCTGTTTTCACGTAAACATCAAAACAATCAGAAATCTATACATATTATACATTTCAAAGTTATCATTGGCCCCGTTCGACCCTTAAAGCTTGGAAACCATGAGAAATAGTCAAGCCTGTTATAAAGGCCACCTCTATTAAGCGAATAACTGTCTTGTCAGGTCACCTTTTTCTTTTTCAGCTGAAGTAATACCTAAGCATTTTGAACCTCAATTCAAAGGTCGCCTTTCATATATTAAGGTCATTTTTTACCATTATATATACAGATTTGACAGCATATAAAATCTACGACAAATCATTATTGTTCGAAATTCAAAGGGAAAAAAATGAACAAATTCCTTTTCACTTCGACTTTTTTTTGTGACCAAGGAAATTGTTTAGAATGTTGAATATCCCTCCCCAAAGACTGTTATCCCTCGCCATATGGTAAGGGTCGAGAGCCTTTTCAACTTTTTATTTTGGTCTGATTCATCATCAGGAATTTATTTAGTATTCACATTTCAATATATAGCATTCGGTCTGCTACTTTACTTTTTTTAGAAACTGAATGTGTATGTCATTTCTACTTGGAATACTAGTAACAGTAGTTTTTACATAAAAGGGATATAAAAAAATTAGAGGGGCATCATATATAGAATACTATTCTAATATCGTTTTAATAAGAACATGAATACAAATAAGTGAAAATAATTAAAATTTAAAAAAATATTTACACACACACACACAAAATTGTTAGAAAAAAGGGGGATCAAATCCCATCCATCCCAAAATGGAAAGTCATATTGTTCCTGTTGATACGAAGCTGTATACATACATCAAACCATACCGGTCAGATCATACAAACAAGTTAAACTAGATACCGTAATGAACAATAAGGTAAAGTTTAGTAACATTTGACACAGTAGTTTCCGACGAGAAAATTTTTTCAAAAGTTTACGACGACGGATGGACGGACGACGGCGGTCGCGAAGTGATGCCAGAGCTCACCTGGCCTACAGGCCAAGTGAGCTAACAAGGGGCAAATGGGTGATCTACAGTGGAAATTTTTAAAATGTCATCAATCATGTCGTGTTTCGTCAGTGAGAGCTAGTGTGCATTATAAACAGTAAATTGCCACGTTGCATTTCTCAAAAATACTATAAAATTAATAAAAACTATGTAAAGGCATGACAATTACTGTTAATATAGCCCTAAAACAAAATACAGCATATGGATTTGTTCATAAACTACCAAAAATTATCATTGTATGAATAAAATATGCATACCCAAATTATTATCATGTAATGTCCGACTTCATATTATCGCGGAAAAAGGGTTTTAAAAATAGCATTATTGCATCAAATTTTAAATAGATTCTGAGTTATTTCTCTTGTCGCATGTAATAACATATTAACTATGCATAATTTCACTCAAGTTAAATTTAAATCGGAATAGTGATTATAATTTGTCATATATACAGAAAAGTGCATATTTTAAACACATTTGAAATATAGTTGAAAAACGTTTAAGATTTCAATGAACGTAATGAATGTATAACTTATAAGTAATATAAGTCAGGGATTTCTTTCACAAAATTTACTTAAAACTATAACTAAATTCTTGCATAGATACACAGCTGATTTGGTTCGGAAATTTGGCAGTACCTGTAGAAATATTATTAAGGGACGACCATTTGATTTTCTAGGGGAGGGGAGGGGAGGGGAGGGGAGGGGGTCCTGAAAAAATCGTCTTGGTCGCCACTCCACCATGCCAGAATAACAAATGGATATCATAATGTTTACGGTGATATTATGTATTGCTCTCTTCTTGCCAGTTCTTGTTTTTTTTACATCTATATATACTCTCTACTGTATCATATGACCAAATTTCTCATTTTTTATATGACCAGGGGAGAGGGGTTATAAAATTCCATCCTGATTCTCAATTTTTTAAGAAAAAAATGTATTGCCACAGACAATAGAGAGAAATCAATTATTCTGTCAAGTTTGTTAAAAATTGTTGAAAAAATAATCTGCTTTTCTGCGGTAAAAGTGTCATAAAACACAAGGAAAACAATACCATCCCCCTTTTATAAAGTTAATTTAAAAATTACTCACAAAGTGACTTGCATTTTTCATACGCCGTAATAATTCATTTGTTTCTTGCTTCATGCACTTTCAGTAACATTTTTTTTTAAATTATCAATTTCCCCCACCTTAGTAGCAATATACCAACTTCACCTGCATATGGGATATACATTTCCCAACTCATTCGGTATTCAAGAGCTAGCAGCTGCTACTCAGACTTTATAAAACGTCACTAGTGTCTGAGCAGAAAGTTGATGAACCAGGGTTATGTCAAAGAACGTCTCGTCCTTTTTCTAGAAAAGTTCATCGGAAAATACAAAGACCTTGTTGATAAATATTCCGTATCAACTTCACAAATAATACATGATGGTCTTGAAGTATAGATTCTAGGTTCTGACGTTGTTTGTCATCTTAATTACGTGTTATAGTGTTCTTTTATTTGTCTTAGTAAATTATTAACTTTACTGTTTTGTCCATTTTTGGTAATATCCTCTTGGCGTGGCTCGGTACTTATACATCCTGCCATTGTGTTATTGTGCTATCGTCATTTTTAGCTCACCTTTCCAAAGGAAATTTGAGCTTTTGTCATCACTTGGCTTCCGTCGTCGTCCGTCCGGTGTAAACTATTTCAAACATCTCCTTCTCTGAAACTACTGAACCAATTCCAACCAAACTTAAGCTGAATGATCCTTAGGGTATCTAGAATAAAGTCTGTGTTTTATTTTCTGTTTCGTCAAAAAACATGGCCGCCATGGCTAAAAATAGAACATAGGGGTAAAATGCAGTTTTTGGTTTATATCTCAAAAACTAAAGCATTTAGAGCAATCTGATATATGATAAAAATGTTCATTAGGTCAAGTTCTATCAGCCCTGAAATTTTCAGATGAATCTAACAACCCATTGTTGGGTTGCTGCCACTAAATTGGTAATTATAAGGAAATTTTGCAGTTTTTGGTTATCTTGAAGATTATTATAGATAAAGATAAACTGTAAACAGCAAAAATGTTCAGCAAAGTAAGATCTACAAATAAGTTTTATATGACCAAAATTGTCAATTCACCCCTTAAGGAATTATTGCCCTTTAAGGACAATTTTACACAATTTGTTTATCATGTTTTCTAACTTTAAAAAATCTTCTCCTCTGAAACTACAGAAACTATTCCAACCAAACTTAAGCTGAATGATCCTTAGGGTATCTAGAATAAAGTTTGTGTTTTATTTTCTGTTTCGTCAGAAAACATATCAGCCATGGCTAAAAATAGAACATAGGGTAAAATGCAGTTTTTAACTTGTATCTCAAAAACTAAAGGATTTAGAGCAAATCAGACTAGAAGTTTAAGTATTCATTAGGTCAAGGTCTACCTGCCCTGAAATTATCAGCCAAATCGGGTATCTGATTTTTAGGTTATTGCCCCTGAATTAATGATTTTATGGAAATTTTGCAGTTTTCGGTTATTATCTTGAATATTATTATAGATAAAGATTAACTGTAAACAGCAAAAATGTTCAGCAAAGTAAGATCTACAAATAAGTTTTATATGACCAAAATTGTCAATTGACCCCTTAAGGAGTTATTGTCCTTTAAAGACAATTTTTCACAGTTTGTTCATCTAGTTTGCTGAATCAATTTCAGCCAAACTTGGGCAGAATGAGTTTCAGAGTATCTAGTATAAATTTTGTATGTTATTTCCTTGTACGTCAAGAAACATAGCCACTATGGCTGAAATGGAACATAGGGGTCAAATGCATTTTTTGCTTTTGAAGAAAATATGAGATACAAAGAACATTTAAATGGCATTTTTAAGCCACTCATTAATATATATTGAAAAGCAAAAATAATCATTGATGAAAGATTTAAGCAAAAAATTACAGTTGAGCGATTCAGGCTCTTGAGAGCCTCTTGTTTGTATTCTTGTCTTTCATTTTTGCTTATGTGCTTTGTCTATATGCCTTTTTGTTTTTCTTTGTTGACATATTTGTTTGTTTTTATAGTGATTAAGATTATAACACAATATTGACTGCTGTACACCTATTTTTGACATTTTTACCTATTATGTCTGTTTTGTTCACACATTGTTGTCAATATAATGGAATTTTATGCGACTGTCTTACAAGTGAGGGGGTTTAGCTAGCTATATAACCAGGTTTAATCCACCATTTTCTACATAAGAAAATGCCTGTACCAAGTCAGGAATATGACAGGTGTTTTCCATTCGTTTGGTGTGTTTGAGCTTTTAATTTTGCCATTTGATACGGGATTTCCATTTTGAATTTTCCTTGGAGTTCGGTAATTTTGTTATTTTACTTTTTATTATAACTGGATTTCTTAAGATCATTGTATACATGCTACTGGAACGATTTGTAACCAATATTTACCATAAACATTGAGATTTATTGGGAGAGAGATTTTATGAGTGTATTGAATTAACGTGACGTTACAAGTATTGATCCGGAGGATGGTATGCACTCGACATCAATTGCATTTATATCTAAATTAATAAGTGAGCTTTATTTCACATTATAAATGAGCCGTAGGACGTATTTAAACCTAAACGCATGTACGAAAAGAATATCCCAAGTTAATGTGATCGGTGAAATAGGATACAACTCTTGCAAGTCTTTGCAGAAAATAAAAAAAAAGTGACGGCATACAAGTCATATAATGCATATTCTAAGGTTTTTCTTGCCCTCTGTGTGTTATACGACAAGAAAAACTTTAAAATATGTATTATCTATAACGTAAACGATATGATCCCTATACACACATTCCTGAGAGGTTGGATATTGTCTTTACATACTGTTAAACTTATATTTTGGCATTGAACAAGGTCGTGCTATACCTCAGATGACTGCATGAGACATCTCTACACTAAATTCGTTTGAGGTGTACCGATTGACATTTTGATCTGGAGAACATGGTTTATTTATTAACTGAAACTGGGTTCTGACCTACAATCTGAGAGTACCACTAGACCGGTGATTCTTTGTTTCTGTGTTTAGTGTCGATCTCACGGTGGTAACTTTTGTTTCTACTAGGTTGTCTCACACTACTGCCCAAGGCTAGGGTTTGGTTGAGCGCTCACAGGCATGTTTATAGCGAACACATTCTTTGTGGGACTAACCTATGCCTAGGCCTTTTATCCTGTCGTTCTCGGTTGCTGTCTGCAATGTTAATCGTTTATTGGTGTTCTTAGATATGGCCGTTGATTTTCTCTTGTGAATTGTTTCACATTTTTTGCACCCCATTGGTGTTTTATCTTACTATACGGTACGAGTTTTGCTTGTAGTAGGCCGTAAAATGACCTCCTCGTCGTCTCTTTTAGTTATACAACATATCCTTATTTTCATGTTATTTATTAAAATCAACCACCGTAACATTTCGACTTAGTGGTTGATATCTGAGGAGGCATTTTGTCGCAATCAGTCCTTTTTGCATCTTTGCAAATGGAAATCAATCAAAATCATGAAAAAGTACTACAAATTAAAGTGGAACATTCATTCTCGTATCATTATCCGACTTTGCCTATAATTGCTTACATCCACTTCATTTGAACTTTGGTGAATAGTTGTCTCTTTGGCAATCATACCACATATCCTCATTTTAAGATTTTGACCTCATGACATTACAATTAATAGGAACCATTCTATTAGGTAAAATTTCCGTTAACCTGATCAAGATTTGCATCATCTAACCAAGGTTAAGATCCAAACAGACATAGAACCGAAACACTGAGTCAGATTTTATAACGTGTTTGTTCACAAGGTTACAGTCAGCTCAGGAAGACATGTTAGTACCATGTACGGACATATTGTGCTGACTCCAGTCTATGTTCTATATATCATTTATGTTGCTTGTTAAGCAGAGAAGCAGCAGATACAGATTTTCGAGTCTTTGTTTTAACGCGGTTGGCGATCGAACCCACCACCCTTCTCACACGAGTCGAGCACACCACCACGAAACCATAGGCGATTTCAGAAAAAAATATTTTAATCTGACATTACTATAAACTGTCCTAGTAGTACGTGAATATGTTATATAGATACAATGGATAAGCGTGGATTCTTGAAAAAGAAACCATGAGCCCGGAGGGCGAATGGTTTGTTTTTCATGAATCTACGCTTATCCATTGTATCTATAACTTAAACTTTTGTGTTAATTTCTTTTCAAAATTAAAGCCTTTTCCTAATTAGAAGGTATTGTAAGTGAGTTTAAATAACCATGTTATCGTGTCC